ATGCGAAGGCGGCCTGTGCGGCGGGCGGGTGTGAAGGGTCGCATCTCTCCCTGCAGTGCGCAGCGCGGATCCCGGAGGCCGGAGCCGTGCTTGACCTGCTGGAGAAATGTCCTGAGCACCAGAAGAAGGGAGGTTTCCCCGTCGTAGTTTTCGAGGGCCTGGATGCTACAGGTAAGAACAATGCGTGGTTGAAGAACCGCAGAGGAGAAATTGTTGGAAAGAGCAAGCGCTATGGCTTTCAGCCAGGCATAAGGCTTAAAAATTCAAAAAATCCTGGAAACCTGTAACAGATTTGAAAGAATTAGTAATTATAAATCCCAGTCTGTTTTCTCTTACTTGTAAAAGATCAAAGTGTCTAGGCTAATTTTCATTCAGTGGATGAACTCCTTATGTATGTAAATGAAAGAATACGAAGACCGGAGTACTGGAAATTACATTTCTTGTGCAGATGATGAAACATACTTTTACCAGAGAGTAAAAAGTGTTTATTTGAAAGAGTTTTCAAATAAATGAACTAAAATAGTGGTAGTCTGGGAAACTGGCAGCAGTTTGTCTCGGAGAGAAATATTAGTTGCCTCTGAATAACTTTGTTTTCTATATTTTCAGTTAAAGAGAGCTGAAAATGCCCTCTAAAAAGAAAGTGTTGGGTGACAGCATTGCAACATCCACATGAATTGTGGCCTAGAAAAGTGTTGGAAATGGATATATAGAGAAATTGCCATGCATTTAATGCATTTAAAGGAGTGAAGACAGAAAGCTGGCAAGAGGGAGGGGAGGAGGGCCCTGAGAGTAGGAAGTGGAGCAGTAATTCCTGGGTCCAGACTCATAATCATTTTCCACTGGAAACCTTATCACAAGATACTCAGGTTACATAGTCAGGTGTCAGAACATTGCTCCAAGTGAACAGATAGGAGCATTTTTCAGTTTTTAAAAATCAGTTGTATCTGATATGTAATAAAACAAATGTTTCCTTCTCTAAATGAAATGCAGGCAAAACCACTGTAACCCAGTCTGTTAAGGATGCCCTGAATGGCATTCTGCTAAGGTCTCCACCAGCTTGCATCAGCCACTGGAGGACGATATTTGATGATGAGCCAGCACCCATTAAAAGAGCATTTTATGCTGCGGGCAACTACATTCTCGCTTCAGAGATAGCGAAAGCATCCACTCAGGCACCTGTGATCGTAGACAGGTTTGTATATTTAAGAAGTCCTTTTATATCAGTGCCATCATACAGTTGTTCAATGTTACAAGCAGAAGCTGTCAGTGACAGTCTCTGCGTTTCTTCTTTTTTCTTTTATTTTTTTGGAAGGGCTACTTTGCAGGTAGTCAGATAAATATTAAATCTTCTAAAGCGTAATACTTACAATAACAGTAAGGTAGGGGACTTCCATCAGTGTCATACTCATAACTGGCTTCAGCACACATGAAAAGGGTTACATCTTCGGTTTGGAATAGTGGAGGCATGGACTGTGCAGCCTGAGCCAAAGCAGGGCTCTGTGACAAACCTGAGGAGGGTGAGGGCTGCTGATCATGGCTATCTCTAAGAAGCGTCTGAGGTACAAGTGGATTAGAATGACCGAGTTTTAGGTAGACTGACTCTTTGAGGATGTCAACCTAGAAATATGCTTCCCACTTTTTTGGGTTTGTTTATGTAATTTCTTGCTTTCACTAACTGTGTAGGCAGCTTTCAGTATTACTCGTAATAAAGAAAGTCTAGATGCACTTTGAAACCCCTGGCTTGTTTCAGTAGATGTACTGTAACCTCCCCCCCACAACACACATATGCAGAAGTTGTTTGCGTTATGTGTGAGTCCCATTTTTAACCAGCCTCAAAACCACTGAAATATATAAAATACAGTGCCTCAGAGTGGTGGGAACATTAAATGCAAGTGAAATGCATAACTGTTAATAAAGTCCGTCTTCATTCACATGTGGTTGAAGACTGCATGTTCTCTACCAAATCTGTTGCATGAAGTAGCACGGCAACCACAAAAAAGGGACTCTGAGTATTGGATTTCGACATAGAACGTAACTCTTCTTTTGACCTCTCATTATATGAGAAGACGTTCTTTTGAAAGGCGTGTCTGGAACACTTTTTGCCTGATGTGTAGCTTCTGCCATATTTTTTAATTAATAATTCACAGTAATTCTGAATATTGCCTTGACTATTATCGCTCTGTTAAGAAAAAATGGATGGCACAGAATTGTTCTTTACAGTTCCCTTCAAAATTACAGTGTCACCTGCCTCGTCATAATTGCACTTGTCATTATAGTGACACCTGTCTCCTATATTCCTGAAGAATTCGTGTCCTCTTTAAAATTTCTCTCTCCATTCTGTATTTTCCTGACAGATACTGGCACAGCACAGCTGCCTATACAATTGCCACTGAAGTAAATGGGAAAGTCCAGGATCTTCCACCAGCTCACGATGAGGTGTACCAGTGGCCTGAGGATCTGCTTAAGCCCGATCTTGTTCTTCTCCTGACTGTTGACCCTGAGGAGCGAGTCCAGCGACTTCAGCGTCGAGGGCTGGAGAAAACAAAGGAGGAAGCTGAGCTGGAAGCTAACAGCTTGTTTCGCCAAAGGTACACCTTAACGAGGAGTAAGAGGATGGAGGCAATCTTGGCTCCTGTGGGATCAGTAGCAAAACGTCCCACTGACATTACTGGGACAAGGATTTCCTATGTCTAAGCTTTTGGGTTGGGTTTTTTTTGGAAAGGATTCATGGCTGACAACGAGGGTAAATTCTGTCGCTTCTGATTGAAAATGTTTGAAAGCTGCAGGTGAAGAACTGTTCTCCCGCAAAGGACCTTGGAGTTAAAATACTTGTATTTTGCTACTTGCTGCTTGTATTGTAGCACTTTTCTTACTGAGGTCATGAAGGAGAGAGACCTAAAAGTTCCAGAACTGGGAAGCAAGAAGCTGAAACACATAGCTTCCCCAGAAAAATCTGGAATTGAGCCCCAGATTAAGAGAACAGAATTTAGGTCTCCTGTTGTAGGTGTCTTTAGTTGTGCTAAGTGTCTCAGGTCCCAGTATAGTCAATGCACTCAATGGAGCCTTTAAATTATTCAGCTCACCACCTGCTTGGAGCCCAGTGATCTAAGCATAAGTATCTTGAGCCATTTGATATGATCTGAGACATCTGCGTGAGGCTGGCAGATGTGATGCAAAACCTGTGGACCCTTTCTGGACCAGCAACTGGAAGCTAAGTTAAGTAGTCCAGGGCATGTCAAGCAATACTAGATACATTTGCTTAGGCAACTGAATTGCACCCTAGGTATCCTACTTCAGGGTGCGCTGAATTGCTATCTAGGCTCCGCCAAATGTATTGATTAGATCATCATTGTCTACAGTGGAAACTTAAATACCTAGTGCTGATGTAGATACCTCGGTATAGACACCTGAATGTTGGTGTCCGTATCTACAAATCACAAAACTGAACTCTACCTCTAGAGTTTTAACATTTCTGGTGGTGATATACCTTAAAAATATCCATTGCTTAATTCTGATAGAAGCTCTGTGCAGACACGCAGTTCATACAGGGGGACCTGCAGAGGGATGGGTGAGCCAAGGGAACATGCTGCCATTTAAGAATCTTTCATGTTTTAATTCTGTTACTTCTTATTCCTGTCAGAAAGCCTTTGGTTATTTCTACTTGTTAATTATGTCAACCTGGATGTGAGAACGTTCAGAACCTTGCTTGATTCGTCTTACAACTTGTGGCCTGAATGTTTGGCATTATTAATTCTTGTGGGAACATAGAAAATTATAATCACATTCTCATTCATATCCTCATGGACCAAGTGTGGGAGAGTTCTGCATTACGAGAAGGCTTATAGTCTAAGCGAGGAGGTTTTCATCCTGTATTTCATTCCGGTATTCATCTGGTTAGCAAAGTTGATCAGAGGAAAGGGTTAAATGATGTGTCAACTCTGTAACTCAGTTCTCCAGTGACTCAAAGCTGAGATCAGTCAGTGAGCACATCTACACAATGCCATGCCATATAGTTCAGAGACACTTTAGTGGGCTCTGAATAAATTAACTTAGATGTTAGAAGCAGGCTTCCGCTGTACTGCTGTACCGGGCAGTATCCAGTGCTAAGCTGTAAAGAAAGAAATACTTTAATGCCATGCCATGTGAATATGGATAGAGGTCTGGGAATCAGTGTCGAGGAAACTATGCACTTTGAGGTTCGCATTGTAACAGTTACTAATGGTATATTGCTCTTTGCAGTAGATTTCATTCTGCAGCGCAAACACTTTCTTCCAAAACTGATGACTAATGCCATTTCATATCCCTGCAATTTGTAGTTTCATTTCTCTTGTTTGGTTTTTAAATAGAGTTGAAGAGTCGTACAGAAGGATGGTGAATCCTGCGTGCCAAGAGGTCGATGCCAGCCCCTCCAAGGAAGAGGTTCTCAAGACAGTGCTACAACTAATTGAAAAACACTGTGCTTTGTGAAAGCAACTTCTGTGTAATAGCACTTACAAGATACTTTTTATTGTCCCTCTATTTTTGCTACCTAAAAATGGACTGTGATGTGTTTTGTCCCACAGGTCAGGGCAGGTTACGTCTTTCACCATTGTCTGCTGGTACTTTTCTGTATAAGGCAAAATACCACTCCCACGTTGTTCAGCATTCTTAGCAAAGCCACAAACATACTATGGTCATGTATGAAGTACCTCAGAGTGCTCTCTGACACGGCGACATTTCAAGACACTATCATGTTGCATCTTCATCACCGGGGGAACCTGTTCCCACATCTGTTGTGTGCCAGAATTCACTGGACTGCAGCGGAGCATTAGGTGCCCAAGGAGAGGCTGAAATGTCATCCAGCAATAAAACAATAAAATGATCATAACGTTGAGGAACAGAGAATCCAGTGGCCCAGTGTTGTCTGCTGGAAAAGAGGATGAGCAGCTGCTGCTGTGATGGGCATCCTGCAAAAAATGTGTCATAAATGGGGGCCAATAAGCATCTAGGCCTCCAAGTAATAAAGCCCAAGCCTGTCAACATATGCAACTGAAATACCAATTCATTTCAGAGGGAAACAGGAGGATGCTGACACAGTAGAAACAGAGACCTGAAAAGAACCTGAAATTAAAAACATTTGATAAATGATTGCTAAAATATTTTTCTACAAACCATTTCCTATAGCCTATTCACAGCTTTGTTAATGTGAATTTCTGTTCTTTTGAGAGAATGTGGAATGAAAAACCACAGAGAATCTGAGCAATGGGAATCATTGTACCTTTTCACTTCACCTTTTCTTTCTCGAGTGGGTTTTTGCACATGTTGAATGTGAAAGCAGGCTACCATCAAGACTTCAGCTCTCCGAAGGCTTATTTTTATGTACATCAGTTTCACTATTGTTACTCCTAAGTGTAAAACTAAACATGTGGATAAGCCTTTGTGGGGTTAGAAAAGAACTGCAGATCCAGAAAGAACATAACTAAAATGTAAACTTGATTTAAAACACTATTTTTACTTACTTCCCTGTGTTAAGCAAGTGCAATTATCAATGAATCTGTCCTGTAAATAAAAATGTACTCAGTACTGCAGTTCCTATATCCAATCTGTGTATGCAAAGTGATAGAAAGAAAAACTTCTAAAAATACATTTTATTCATGCACTGTTTAATGTTTGTGAGTATGTGCTATTAATATAGTGCATTTATACATACTAGTAATATACGCTGTTGTATTTGGTGTATTATTTGTCTAACAGTAGCCTTGGGATTTGCCATACATGCAGACTGGAAATGATTAGGATACAAATAGTGTGCCTGCCCTTAACGTTTTCTAGCCTTAGCTTTTCCAGTTAAGAGATCACTTGGCCTGAGGAATGCCACTGAAAGCCTTTTCTCCTTATGCAAACTTGCACATGAAGCCAGACTGCCTGGGTTTTGATGCCAAGTTCTTAAAAGGTTTGTATTTAAGAGTGTGCTGATAATGTATATGCAATGAGTGGCATCAGACACTACTAATTACACAAATGCAGTATACATTCATAGTCCATGTTTTTCTTCAACCCAACGCTACTTAGGCAGACTAACAGAACAGCAAAGCAAGGCAGACCAAACCAGCGTGTCCCTTTCTCATGTCTTTGTCAGAATTAAAGGTCTGCAAGAGGTGGCGTGCCACGTGCAGGATGTTAATGTGCATAATCATACTTAATGTGCATAATGTGCATACTTAATGTACATACTTAATGTGCATAATCATACATGAAGGCACCGAGGCGAAGGGCTCTGGAGCGGACG